AAAGGTAAAAAGTCCGCAATCGTGTTATGTTTTTTTCAGGTAAAAAGGTAAAAAGTCCGCAATCGTACACATACTAATAATCATTTACTACGCACACAGTCACAAATAACTCGTGCACGAACTTTAATTTAAATATTGCCTTTACCTAACTCCTTAAGCCGCGTACACACTTGTAACATTTTCTGTTACGCTGTAACACCGTAACACCGTTTCACTAGTTGTCAGTAAATTGAGTTGCATCAAAGGATATTACGCGCTAATGTTACAAGTGTGTACGCGGCTTTAAATATACACCACCACTGATCCCCTTAAATACGTATCAACTGATGCACAGGCCMACAAATCAGGTGGAAACATAGCGATAGCATCTTCTCCTATGTATGTATCGACTTAATAATTAGCAAATTTGGTAACTCGATTATCATCAGGTTTCAATGCCATTAAAGTTGTAAAAAGCTGTACATTTGCGGTTTATACATCACCATTTTATTTCACCTGAAGCTAACGTAGGTGTTATTTAAAATGTTTAAAATGTTCTAAAACTAAAAGTGGTTTTCCTCGTTGGGATTCAAGTGATTCAACTATGCATGCCATCGTAACTGTTGTAAGAACACTACTGAAACATCATTTCAAAAGTCCAAAAAAAAATGAAATTATTTGTCTCAATGTTTAAATAAGTTAACAAAAAATTGTTCACGATAAGATATAGGTACGTTATTTATTATTTTCAGATTAAATTATACGTCATGTTTATTAGTTATTATATTTTGTCGGCAAATATTATCGGGCCGAGATTACAACCGACCTTTTTTATTACCTGAAATTTCCGGACCGAGTTTATAATCTTTCTATTTTATTACTTGAAATTTCCGCCCGAGGTTACAACAAAAAAGGTAATCGCGGKCCCAGTTTACATTTGCCCGCACGGATGCATGATGGCCCTCGGGTTTCTAACTACCTGCGACATATCCTTATTGTCCGTCGTGTTGATAAGAATTGTTTCGAGAAGTTTATCGATAAAAATAAACTCACGCGTTGCGCGTACACGCGAACACCAATACTCCTATAATATTATTGTAAAATAATATGTAATATTAAAAAACCAAAAATACACACGGGTAGGTATTTCAGCTGTTTCTATATACCTAAATTTTTATATTTCTATACATTAACGATTGTGTGCAGTGGCGTACGCAGAATTCTTTAATGGGGGAGAGGGGGGTTACCATATTTTATGTACATATAAAAAAAAAATGTTTATACAATTGTATTCTTTTTATATTTAAAGACATGCACAGTTAAATTTTTTTTAAATGTATATTTTATGATCTAAAAACACTAACCTATTAATTTATAACTTAATATTAATTCGTCTCGATGATTTTGATAATTCATCTAGTACAGCGTCAGTTGAGATTTCAATATCCCGATGAATATTTAGCAWTGCTAATCCRTTTAAGCGAGATTCYCCGGTTGTATTTCGTAGATAGGTTTTGAGACGACGAAGAGTCGAAAAAGTCYTTTCGGGTKTGGCCGTCGTTACTGGTAGAGTAACAAGAATAACTAAAAGTTTTCGTATAATTGGAAATATTTTTTCATCACATACAAGTAAAGCTGAATGGGCATTTTTAAGATTGTCATTCATTTGGCTTACATAATTCCACCATAATCTAAGTTCTTCGATACTTTCTTGTTCACTGCAGTTAAGTTTCTCAACGGGTGTTACAGAATTTGAAGTATTAGATTCGTCTTCGTCTTCACTCGTTTCCTTTTTTTTTTTGAAAAACATCGTTAGAGTAGTGTTATTTAATTTTCTTTTCTTATCACTCATATTGAATAAAAAAATAAATTAAAAAATGTATCACGTTTAAAATAATAAAT